GGACGGCGCGCGAGCCATCTCCTCCCACCGCTCAGGCCTGCAGTGGCGGGCGGTAGCGTCACAGAAAGGGAATACTCTTTCCTGAAACATAGCAAGGCAGGGGGTAGCAGCTGAGCTGGCTCGAATTATCATAAACGCATTGCATCATTCTCTCAGGGCACACAAGACTGCGTGTTGACACAATGAGGCTCAATCCCCCTGCATACGAGGCAGCAAAGCGAGAGCTTGGGTCAAACTCACAGCACGCGTCCGGTCAACATCAACATGCGTGAGAAAGTGACCAGATCACCTGAACTTGTCTGCGTCTGGGCCCCAGAACTCCTGCATGCGGTTTATGGCGTAGGCGCTGTACAGGACCATGGCGCCGGCCGGCACGCGCGTGCCGCAGGGCAGCACATCGGAGCTCACAGCAAACTTGACGTCCTGACAGCGAGGTGTGTGTGCATGCGCGCGTGCGTGCGTGGGTGCGTGCGTGGGTGCGTGGCTGCGTGCGTGCGTGCGTGCACGTGTGTGTGTGTGTGTATGTGTGTGTGTGTGTGTGTGAGTGTGTGCGCGCGTGCGCAAGAGACGACGGAAAGAGCATGAGCGCCAGGCACGAGTGATGAGCCGGTTCGGGCCAGGGGTGACGGCCATTGCAGCTGTTGGCTGCAGCTTGTTGTCGGACCTGGAAGGTATTGTTTTGGGTTGAGTGCCTGTCAAGGCCCCCGTGCACCCGCAAACCGTGGCCGACTAGCAACAACACTCGCTCAGCAAGCACTCCCGCTTAACCCGGCCGGCTGCAAGACGAGCACACCCTGGAGCAGCGCCCCGCCCACAACGCGCCCCAGCTGGCGGCGCCCCGCCCACCTGCGGCACTGAGGGGTGCAGCCGCAGGCCCTCCAGGAAGACGGCCCGCGCGTACCTGAGTGCCTGCAGCCGCTCATACGACTGCGGAGCCGCCGCCGCCCCGCCGCTGCCCCCGTTGCCGCCACCGCCCTCGCCGGCCGCCATATCCTCACGGCTGCTGCCCGTGGGGCCAGCAGGAGATGAGATAACAGTTGGGGGCCCCAGCACTGCCTCTGCCTCGGACAATATCTTGAGCTCGACTTCTGGGTGCATAATTACTTCGTAGAGGGTCCAGGAGATTGCCTAGAGGGGTGATCGCAGATATCCAGTTGCAATGTGCAACGTACAGCTGTGATTGATGGGCATTGCACAAATGCCTGGGCCCAGTATGAAACAGAACTTTGGACTCAAAGCCTGGCCCTGGTCGAGGGCCCTCGGCACGCACGGCCGACGGATGTGCGCCGTTTGCGCTCTTGCCCCCGCGCCTGCCTGTGCTGTTGTGTCGCGGCCTGCGATGATGAAGTTGAGCACCGCGTCCACCAGGGCGCTGTCACCCAGGGGGGCGCCGTCGGGGCCCTCTTCGCTCATGAAGAGGCCCAGCAGGTCGGAGGAACCCGCCCCGCAGCTGCCGCTGCCCGCCTCTCCCTGCCGCTGCACCTCCAGACACATCCCATCGCCGCCGCCCACATCCTCGAGCTGCGGCTGCCACGAGCTCAGATTGTTAGCGTCGTGGCTGCCGTCAGTTGCGGCAGCCCTGGCAACAGGGGGAGCGGTGTTGGAAGTCGCAGGGGCGCTGGTGGCGGTGGATGGCATGGGGGACGCGGCGGCTGTTGCGAGCGCGCGGCGCTGCGCGATGATGCCTGCCGCGAAGGAGCGGATTGTGTCCACGTCCCGGCGCAGCTGGCGGCCGCGGCCGTCCTGCGATCCAATATCATTGTTGTGGTGCAGCAGGGGTGTGTTGCATGTTTGGGGTTGGGAGGGGCGTCGCCCTGCTGGCGATGGAGCAAAAACAACCACTCAACTCATCATCCATCTTGGAAGCAATCAAGCACAGATTGTACCTGCATGAATGCACCACACAGCTTCTCCAACAAAGGGCATTCCACATTTTGCAAAGCAAAGGCGGGGGGGGGACACTGAGGGTACAGCCAGGGAGGTTGACTATTGAGTAAAAGAATGCTAGGTGTGTGCGTTTCACATTGCCAGACGAGCCCACCAGCAGCTCTAGCAGGCGCCAGCAGGGCACCCAGAAGCGCGCCATGACTGTGCGCTGGGCGCGGTCAAACGCGGTCGCAAATGGCAGGCTGCCAGCGGCGCGCAGGCAGCCCGGGTCGGTGCCAAAGCCTGGGGGCCGGTGGGTGGTAATGTAAGAGGCGGGCCGGTGACGGGTGCCTGAGGGAAGCCTCGTCGACAGGTGCGTCTCAAAGCCTCAGCTGCAGGGTCGATTTGCGCTGCGGTACGCTCCCTCAAACGCACGCACCAAGAGGAAACTCCAGGACCACCGGTGAAAATGTCAACCCCACCACTGCCAGCAAAACCACATGCAGCGAGCCTGAATCCACGCATGCACGCCTGAATGCACCCGACGTGCACATCGCAATCAAAGTCAAAGTCAAAGTGCAGGACCCACCGACCGATGTGGCAGAAGGCGTCGAGTGTGAAGCGGTAGAACACGTCCTGGATGTCCACAGCCGCCCCTGGCACAACACCCAGCGCTCCAGCGGCGGCGGCGCCGCCCTCACAGCTGCCACCTCGAGCGCCACCCGCCCCTGCCTCTGTGACTGCATGCCCCTTACTGGTGCGTGTTAGTCGTTGGCCGGCCGTCGTGCCATTGCACATGCAATCCGCCGCTGGGTCGGTGGAGTCTAGAGGGCATGCGGCCGCGAGGCGGGCCAGCAGCAGGTCTGCCTTAGCGCTGAAGACCTCAGACACATACTGCTTGAAGCTGTGGGGTTGAGGGGTGGGGGGTGCGGGTGTGGGGTGGGGGG